CTCCCCTCCTCCCTCTCTTCTCTCTCCTCCCCTCCCCTCTTCTCTTCTCTGCTCTTTTTCTTTTTGAGACACTGCAGCTTGCTACATTTACCAGGCTTATAGCCTGTCTCCACCTCTGCCTTCTAAGTGCTGGAATTAAAGGCATACACCACCACACCTGTCCCCCAAGTAAGTTTTCTAAACAAAGATGGCCTACTTTTGGCTGGGGTTGGAAAGGCAGTGGATACCAGCAGCTAAAATCTCAGATACTAGAGCCATGGCTTATGGTGCACTATTCTGGTATTCTGCTTTAAGATCTTGGGCAACTTATCCTCAAACTGACTTTCTCAGTGTAAAGCGGCCATGAGGCACAATGGCTGCCTCAGGCTTTGTCAGGTTGATGTGTAACTTGAGAATACTTTTCCACTGCCTACTGTATCAAATAGCACATAGTGGGCCTGGAGAGATGACTCAATGGTTAAAAACACTGGCTGCTCTTGCAGAGGATCCAGGGTCTGTTTCCACTCACATGGCAGCTAACAACTGTCTGTGACTCCATTTTCCTCTTCTGGTCTCTGCAGACATTGTACACATGGATGCACTTACATACACGGCACCAAAAAACTCATATTCATAAAATAAAAATCAAAACAAAATTCTAAAATATAAGTGCTGGAGAGATAGCTCAGCGGTTAAGAACACTGGTTGCTCTTGCAGGGAATCCTGGTTTGAATCCCAGCCCCCACATGATAGCTAACAACCTTCTGTAATTCCAGGGGATCTGACACCCTCTTCTCACCTCCATGGGCATTGCATGACACAGGTACACTTATGTGTAGGCAATACACTCATACACTTAAAGATAATAAATAAAATATTTTAAAAAATAATGAAAGCAGTTAAGCATTCATTAAAAAAATTTGGGGGTGGGAATCAGTTTTCTCTAGGCATTAGTTCTCTGAGAGGTTGTCTTACTCCCAAGTAGGCAGCCTGAACACAGGTACACAGGAGCACTACTGGACTCTGTGTGTGTGTGTGTGTGTGTGTGTGTGTGTGTGTGTGTGTGTGTGTGTCTGTGAAAAATAAAGAAGGGGACAGGAGATTGAGAGTTTGTCAGGGGGCACATGAAAGGATTTGGAGAGGGACTGGAAGGAATAGAAATGATACAAAGACTATACTCATGGATGATGTTCACAAAAAATTTTTTTTAACTTTAAAAATAAACTTTTTTAAAAGAAGGGGGGTGTGTGGAGAGATGGCTTGGAGGTTAAGAGCACTGGGATTAAAGGCATGCACCACCACACCCAGCTTGTCTCATCATTTTTAACCTAATGCTTATTGTGTACAAGGTCCTGGGTTTCAGTCCCCATCAAATACATGCACACACATCAAATTTGTAAATGAAATAAAAGCTATTTTGCTAATTGATGGTGGGAGAAGACAAACGAAGATATCAGGGAAATGGACCATGGGGAGATGGTGAATGCTTGACGATTTATAAGGTGAATGTTGTTTTCCTGGGTTTCCACAAGCACAGTGTTCTGGAATGAACAGTTTAGCTAAGATGATCCTAAAATTGAATGCCAAGAATGTGAAGAGAATGTTGACCAAAAAAGGGGAAGTTTAAAATGAATTTTATCTTACTATTCATATTTTGGAATGTTCTAGATTTTAAGAGGCTTCATGAGGCTCATTTTAAAAAAATGGAATCCATTGATGAATATGTTGTAAGAAGAAAAAAGCACTTTAAAGAAGATAACTCACTTTATGAACTAAAGGTATGCAGAAAATTCATGGGTTTTTTTCTTGATAATTCTTTTTTTTTAACTTCTTGGTTTCTTGTTTATTGTTTTTTATTTCGTAGCCCAGGCTGGCCTGAACTGCTACACATAGCATAGTTTCAATTTTTTTTTTTTTGTCTTTTTGAAGCAGGGTATCCCTGTAGCCCCAGCTCTCCTGGAACTCACTGTGTAGACCAGGCTGGCCTTGAACTCACAGAGATCCACCTGCCTCTGCCTCCAAAGTTCTGGGACTACAGGCATGCGCCACCACGCCCAGCTTAAATTTATTTATTTATTTATTTATTTTTGGTTGGTTGGTTTTGGTATTTTGAATTTTTTTTTTTTTTTTTTGAGACAGGGTTTCACTGTGTAGCCCTGGCTAAACTGAAACTCTCTTAGTAGACCAGGCTGGCCTCAATCTCAGAGTCCATCTGCTTACCTCTGCTTCCCAAGTGATGGGATTAAAGGCTTATATCACCATGCCAAACCTATTTTTTTTTTAATTTTATTTTTATTTTATGTGTATGCGTGTATTGCCTGCATGTAGGAAGTGCACCCATGTCATATTTTCGTCATGAGGAACTAATTCCATAGTGGCAATATGTTCTATTTTCCACATTTGAATGTTTTGCCTTACATACTTTGAGAGTCGACTAACTTCTGGCTCAAGCTATACTCTTTCCATTCTCTAAAGAAAAATGGGGGGACTCATAATAGCTACCCTAAAGGGTTTCTATAGTAACAGCTTATTCAGAGGTCTTCTGTCCAGGCTTTGCTTGATTCAGTGCTCTTCAAGTAAGAGAAGGTAATAAAATCAACCCTTAAGTTGAGTTGGAAGAGTAGTGAATTGATGGCATTTTAGAAAGTAGGTTACTGGTAAACAGAGTTAACAGGGTGACAAATAGAAACATTTACTTATAAGCTGCTGTTTCTCAAAACAGACTTAAGCCAGTTTGTAGAATTAAAACACAACAGAGGGATTGGAGAGGTGGCTCAGTGCTTAAGAGCACTGACTGCTCTTGCAGAGAACCTGGGTTCAATTTCCAGCATCCACATGGTGGCTAACAAGTATCTCTAACTCCAGTTCCAGAGAACCTTAACACCCTCTTCTCTTCTCCAGAGACATTGCTTGACATGAATTCACTTACATACATGCAGGCAAAAGCACCCATGCACGGAAAAGAGAAAAAAATTAATTAATTAAAATAAAAAACATACCAGAAAACAGTATAAAGTCAACTTAAATTGGAACTGAGTAGGGCTAGTAGAGATGGCTCGGTGATTGAGCATACTTCATGCCCAATAGTCATGTCAGGCAGCCTATAACCTTCTGTAGGTACCTATAATCACCTGTACATACCACCCCACACACATGAAAATAAAATCTTTTTTAAAATGGGGTTGGGGAGTGGTTAGGCAGAGGACTGGGCCTAGCATTCAGTGGAACACTTGCCTAGAGTGTGCAAAGCTCTTGGTTTTGGGGGTATTTTTGGCTTTTGTTTTGTTTGGTTTGGTTTTTTGAGATAAGGTCTCACTATGTAGCCCTGGCTACCCTGGCTGCCCTGGAACTCACTGTAGACAAGGCTGGCTTTGAACTCCTAGAGATTTGCCTGCCTCTGCTTCCCAAGTGCTGAGATTAAAGGCATGTGCCACCAAGCCCAGCCCAACATGGCTCTTGATCCTCAGCACTAGGAAAATAGAAGGCGAGGTAGTCATTGTACATTGTGAGTAGGAACAATGTTTCTTGCTCTCATAAGTCAGATGATTTTTTTTAGTTTTCTGGAAAGTAAGGCCAAGAGAAAAACACCTTGGATTATAAATTCTAAATTGTTTTACATATGTGAACTTCTTGGTAAATAATCCAAATAACAAACTTTTAAATTTTTAAAAAAATTTACTTTTGTGGGGTTTTTTTTTTGTTGTTTTTTTTTTTTCTTTTGGTCTTTTTGAGACAGGGTCTCCCTGTAGCCCCAACTGGGCTGAAACTCGATATGTAGACCAGTCTGGCCTTGAACTCACAGAGATCTAGAATTTGTGTGGTATTATCATGGAGCTGATCCTCCTTTCCTTTGATTAGTTGGGCTTTTTGTTTTGTTTTTGTATTTGTTTTTCAGATAGCCTCCTATAGCCCAGGCCAAAGATGGCCAGTGATAATTTAGTATTTTGTTTTGGTTTTTATTTTTCATATTCTTTTTTTTAATGTGTCTGAATGTTTTGCCTGCATGTATGTAAGTGGACCCATGTTGTGCAATGCCTGTAGAGGCCAGAAGAGAGTGATAGATTACTCAGAACTGGAATTACAGACTATTATTATCTGCCATGTCAATGCTAGGAACCGAACCCAAGTCCTCTGCAAGAGCAGTAAGTGCATGCTCTTAACCACTGAGCCATCTCTCCAGCCCCTGAATGTGTCTATTTTTAATATCCCTGTGAACTTATCCATATTTTATTTCAATCTGTTGCAGCTATTATTCTTCATAATCAATTTGTCAACCATTTATATTCCCTTTTACACAAGACCCCAATAGTC